TTTTTTTTACATTTTTTAAATTTTTAAATTTGTGAAATTTTAAATCATTTGGAAATCTGGTGATCTCTGAGAACAGTCCGATTTAAGTTTTTTAAATTTTCGGAGGCTCCGAAAAGTTTAAAAATTTTAAAAATATAAATCGAATTTTTTATATTTTGTAAATTTTTAAATGTTTCAAGGCTCCGAAAAATTTAAAAAATTTTCAAAAAATTTAAACCGCAATCTTTATATTTTTGAAATAGAAATTTTATCGTATGACAGTTCTCAGACATCTCCAGATTTCCAGATGATTTAAAAATCTAAAAAATTAAAAAATTTGGACTGTTCTCAGAGATCACCAGATTTCCAGATGATTTAAAAATCTAAGAATTAAAAAAAGATAATCATCTGGAACTCTGGTGATCTCTGAGAACAGTCCTACGATTTGGTTTTTTTAATTTTCGGAGGCTCCAAAACATTTAAAAAGTCTAAAGAACTATACAAGATTGCGATTAAAATTTGGAAATCTGAACATATCAGATGACAGCTCAATTTAAATACCTTATTTTTATATAGTAGTTGTATATAATTATCAATTTATATATTTAATTATGTTAGCTTAAATTATCTCAAGGCAGACTGCGCAGCACATAGGGTATACTCTTCCCTCTTACGGGGGCGGCCCCCACCCTACATATGAAGTTTTCACGTGATGCGGCGATCCCGAGGATTTCAGCCCCTCACTTGCTAAAGCAAGGACAACTCCAGCTAGCTGGTGCTAGCTTTCGTGATGAGTTCATGATGTTGAGTTTTTGTTTCTAGATCTTGGGGATTCCAAATTTATGCTATTTTTGTTATGTTTTACTTCAACTCTATCTTGACACATCATGATTCAACTTTTTTCTAGAAAGTGAGGAACCCCACTAGAAAATGAGGAGCACGGTGGGATCAAGAAAACAAGGTGATGTCTAGACAATGGCCCTTCCAGCATGCCTCTGAGACCTGTGATCTTCATTCTTTAGTGACCTACAGGTCACTAGAAAATGCCATACCTGACCCCTTCCCGGTGAGTTTACCTCCTTGAGACTAAAGAATGCCCGTTTCCTACAGACATCGACCCCTCCCATTTTCAAGTCCGAATATCATGGGGGCTTAAACAAGCACGTTTGGCATACGCTTGCCGACCTGTGACCAAAACTTGTTGTGCGCAGATGGCACGGACTGGCCACTGCTGGGGCCACCGGCCTCCGGCCCCTTAAACTTCGCGGCGGGCGCAGCTAGTCTTTGGCCGCGCGGTCTGATTTCGCGGCAGGTTGAATCGCGAACTTTAGACGTGTGATACATACCTACATACCTGTTCAATCTTTTTGCACGGCTTTCGCGGCAGGTTCAGCGCAGTGCGAACCTCGAAGTGCAGATTTCCTGGCCGGTGCACGCATAGCGAACCTTGAAGCGCGGACTTCGTGGTATAGGCGTGAGAACCTCGAAGCGCAGATTTCACAGGGCGCGCGCCGCTTTGCAACCTGCGAAAGAATGTATATAACCGTGCGTTCCCACATGTGTGCTCTCATACGCGCGCCCCTTCATACGTGTGCTCTCGTTTGCGCCGCTCGTATGTGCACGTGCCCTATTGTGTGTGCCCTCACGCAAGATCTTGTGCGGTCATTTACATGCGCGCGCTCTCACAGCTCACACGCGTACGTGTGTTGTTGTATACGTGTGCTCTCATACGCGCGCTCTCATCGGTACGCTCTCACGTCGATGGCTCTCTTGTCTGCGCTGACTCTTATATATAGGCCTAATATAGGCGCTTGCAGGTGTGCTCTTTTACGCGTGCAACTTTTTGCGCGCTCTCATACGTGTGCTCACTCATACCCGTGCCCGCACGTGTGCGCTCCCAGTGGCGGGTTGTTTTCTCGCACACTGTGCCCTCATCTGCGCACTCTCATCTGAGCGCCTCCATTCGTGCATGCCCCCTGAGGCGCGTTCTCCTTTTTGCGTATAATATACGTATATTCACTCATGCCCGGGCATATGCGCGCTCATTTGCGCGCGTGATAGCGCGTGCTCTCATACGCGCGCCCTCACTGTTTTGCGCGCGCTCATGCCGGTTCTCACTCGTAAAATGTGTCTGCTCACATAGACGCGCTCGCCCGCGCCGCGCTCATGCGCTCCAACGCGCGTGTGCTCTCAACTTATACGCGCGTGTTGTCGCGCGCTCTCAGGCATGCCCTCACTCATGTCCGGATTGCTCCGATATTTGCTCTCGCGCGTGTTCGTATTATGTACGCGAGATCTCCTGTGTGCGCCGCGTGCTCTTTCATGTCTGCGCTTTCAGCCTGCGCTCCCATATATGCGTGTGCTCCAGAGTGCGGAAGTTGACGTATTCGCACTTGTTTTTTTCTGCTCTTTGGGTTACCGCTGTTCTGAATAACTGTGGAACGCCTATATAACACATCATAAGCGTTGATGGGTAGAGGCCAGTGTGGGCTGAAGTCTCTAGAAGCTATAGAAACCTAAGCCCATCAGAAATATTGGAGCGTTGACTTGAGAAACAAATCCTACAACCTGTTCCAGCGCATGCGATTTGGAACAGCGTAGATATTGCCACGTGTCACTAAATAGCATAAGTGTGTAGATGCGCCCACTCACTATCACTCTGCTTCCTTGACATCGCTTCCAATGTCCCTGAACAAAAGTCCCGCCTTCCACTTCCGCCACTGTGCAAAGCCCTTGGAAGCCTAGAGACGCGCACTTGTCTTTAGCCTCTGCTCTGGTAGCGTAGTCGTAGCCCCCGACCTTGGCAGTTCCAGTCCAACGTGACCAGCCGGAATCGAACAACCCTGATCAGTCCACTGTTCCTTTATGCGCGCGACACATGTGCTCAGGAGAATCAGAACGAGACGCGCTCTGTCCAACTTGTTCCCCACCTGTCAAGTGAGGGTTGCTAGATTTTATGGCAGTCGCCTCGCGTCTCCTCCTTCTCCTCCTCGTCCTCCTCCTCGCCTCCTCAACCGCAAGTGTAGGACGGCAGCGTTCCTCAACCGCCAGTAGCTCCCGACGGCAGTGTCCCCCTCCACATGGCCGTGTTCCCCGCCGGACCTCAACAGCCAGCGCCCGACGGCAGTGTTCCCCGCCAGACCTCAAACGCCAGCTCCTGACGGCAGTGTTGCGCCGGGCCTCAACCGCCAGCCCCCGACGGCAGTGTTTGCCGTCGGACCTCAACCGCCGTTCCCCGCCGGACCTCAACCACCAGCTCCGGACGGAAGCGTTCGCCGTCGGACCTCAACCGCAACACACATAACCGCAAAGACACAACCACAGCGCACAACCACAACACACAACCGCAGCGCACAACACACAACCGCACACACACACATAACCACAAACACAACTACAAACACATAATAAAAACACAGCTACAACACAACCACAGACACACAGCCAGAAACACGACCGCAAACACACAACGACAAACGTATCCACAACACACACACATTCGCCAACATATCCACAAACGCAGACCCTATCCGCAACGCGCAACGACAAAACGCAACCACAGCGCACAAGTGCAGCGCACAACCACAACACACAACCACAACACACAACCACAAACACAACGACAGTTACAATTACACAATCGCAAAGACACACCCACCAAACACAACCACAGCGCACAACCAAGACACACAACCACGAACAGATAACAACACGCAACTACAAAGACACAATGCCAAACACACAGCCGCAAGGACATATCCAAAACACACAACCACAACGCGCAACCACAAAAACACATCCACGGCACACAACCCCAACGCACAAACACAAACACAACTACAAACACATAGCCACAAACACAACTACACAGACACAATTGCAAACACACAACCAGAAGGACATATCCGCAACGCACAGCCGCAACACACAACCACAACCACATAACCACAAACGCAACTACAAAGACACAATCACAAACACACAAACACAGGGACATATCTGCCACACACACCCACAAAAACGCAACCGCAGCGTGCAACCCCAACGCACAACCACAAGCACAACCACAGCGCACAACTACAACGCACTACCGCAAACACTTAACCACAAACACAACTACAAAGACACAATGACAAACGCGCAGCCACAAGGGCATATCCGCAACACACAACCACAAAGACACATCCACAACGCACAACCACCAACCACAATCACACAAACCACAAACGCAACTACAAAGACACAATCACAAACACACAAACACAGGGACATATCTGCCACACACAACCACAAAAACGCAACCACAGCGTGCAACCCCAACGCACAACCACAAACACAACCACAGCACACAACTACAACACACTACCGCAAACACTTAACCACAAACACAACTACAAAGACACAATGACAAACGCGCAGCCACAAGGGCATATCCGCAACACACAACGAGAAAGGCACATCCACAACGCACAACCACGAACACAACAACAACAACAACACAACCACAAACACACAAACCACAAACGCAACTACAAAGACACATTCACAAACGCACAGCCGCAAGGACACATCGGCAATCGCAAAGACACATCCACAGCACACAACCACAGCACACAACTGCAACACATAACATAACCACAACTACAAAGACACAACCAGAGGGACATATCCGCAACGCACAACCACAACACACAACCACGAAGACACATCCACAGCGCACAACCACAACGCGCAAACACATAACCACAAACACAACTACAAAGGCACAATCAGAAACATACAACCACAAGGACATATCCGCAACGCACAACCACAAAGACACACCCTTGGCGCACAACCACAACGCGCAACCGCAACCAAAACGCACAAACAAAAACACGCGCGCGGAGCGGGCAGCTTGGAACATGTGGATGCATCGCTTTTGCTGTGGGGTCGTTTCGGTCAGTTTGCTTCTGTCAGCAATTGAGGGGACAGAGCCGTAAAGGTAAAGACAGTAAAGGTCATGTTTCTATGAGATTGTTGACCGGGGTGTGCATGTTCAACCACAACGCACAACCACAGCACACAACCACAACACACAACCACAAACGCATAACCACAGCACACAACTGCAAAGACACATCCACAACCGCAACGCACAACCACAAGCACAAACACAAACACCACACAATCACAAACACGTCAGACAATATGGCAAGTTCTGTAGAACTTCAGAACATATACCAGATAGAATGGCACAATGTATGTCAATGAAAATGTTTCTGTTCTGTGTCCTGTAATGATAAGTTAGAAGTTAGGATTAATAAATCCCGCCTAGTTAATCCGAGCCCGCAAACCCGCCGGAAATCGCCCAAATTAAAATTAGTATTGGTTGTTGACTTCCCCACCAATGGCATAGTTTTCTACCGGACCCCCCCAGTGAATCCGAGCCTACACAACCCAGAAAAAGGATTAACTAGTGGAGGTTAATTACCCTCATGCTGCTCATCTCTTTCTCAGCTCACCAAGGAGGTCTGAATCTTTGCCCATGGCTTGCCCATCTGAAACTGAGCATCAATGGGCTTGCCAGTTCTCTTATGCTCCCTCCTCATCCAGTATGCAAGGCACTTAGCCTCATCGCACCTCAAGCAGTCTGATAAATATCAAAATCTGCATGACGAGCAAATGCCTACACCTCTAGCCACAATCTTAGCCATTAGCTCTTGCCACATGGTAGTCATGAGGGAGCTCATCAATCTGGATGGGTTTTCTCCTCATCAGGCATGCGACTGCTTCCTGCATCAGAGAAATTAGGTCCTCATTCTTTTTCATCCTAGACTTTGCCAGCTGATGCTGCTTATGCATCTGATCAAGGTTCTTCTTGCCTAGCTGAATCTGTTTCCCATTGGCAAGCTCAAGATCTTTCCTGACCTTGGGAACCTCACTGGCCAGCTGCTTGCTGATCTTCTCCAATCCTTAGATTTGCAAGCAACTCATTGCCTCATTGCCACTCGAAAGAAAACAAGCATTTCAACAAGCAAGGCTGAGACACTATGGTGCCATGCAAAGGCCAATTGGTGAGCACGCCCAGCTGATGCCAGGTGGTTGCCCATCTCACTCTCCATGTAGCCCAACACGAAGTGGCCACACATGTTGCTCAGCATGGGCTGCCTCCCTTTTTCATTCTCTCTCCTCAGCGGTGGCCCACTCACAAGTCAGCATTTTGCTCAGCACCTCCTCAGCCATATTCACACATCCCTGGCGCATGTTCTCAATCTCAGCCTTGGTGCCAATCTCTGCCTCATCTACAGAGCCCCTCCCACTGTCATAAGACCTGATGCTCCTGCTCTTCTTATCAACCAGCATCAGGCAGGGTCTAACGGTTTCCTGCAACCAAAGGGCACAAGAAGACTTTGTCATTGCCCCCCATCTCAAACTTCAATGCCCACAGGCACCTCTCATGGTCCAGCCCCAAAGAAGCTGTGGGAAGAGCATGGTGATGCCATCTATTGATCCAAACTGCTTGCCCTTGCTCATGTACTGAAGCGCCAGCCATCCAAAAACCATGGTCTGTGGACCAGTCACCTCAACAGGATCCCATGACTCTTGATCATCCACATCTTCTCCAATGGTTCCAGCCGCTAGGAGAAGCTCTCTCTTATGCGCCCTGTTCATACTCAATTGTGGCCACTCCCACCTCTTCTTCAACTGCGATGCCTCAATCTGCTGCACATACTCATGTTTGATCCATACCAGCTTGGATGGCACACTCTTGTTGACATCATCAAGAAAGATCTGCCACTCATTGTCACCAATCATGCCGTGCCTGCCATGTCTCTCACCACGCGAAACATTCCAGGTGGTGCTTGCGTGAGTGCATTTTTCTTCTCAGGCTCATCTGCCTCTGGTGGTGCCTTCCACTGGTGGTGGCAATGGAGGAGCACCTGCAGGCGCCTTGCCCTTCTTAGCCTCATCTTCTTTCTCGTTGGCCAATGCCAAGGCTGCTTTCTTTATCTCATCCTTCTTCTTATTCTTCACAGCCAGCGTATCCTTGGGCATGACCTTCTGGCCTGTCTTTTTGGCCAGGGCTTTGGATGCAGATGTCACAGTCCTGCTGCTAGGCACTATCTGCTGCGTGGCCTCACGCTTGCTGCATCCGATTTCTTCTTCGCTCCTGGCCTTCTAAGCTCATGGTCGCCTCTCTCTTAGCCAGCTGTCTTCCCAACTCCAATGGTAACTGAAATTTGCCAGCAGATATCCATTCTGGCTGGTCTGCCTCATCCAACTTCATCACTTCCTCATCAGCAGCAAGCACACTGGCGTAGCTCCACTCAATGAGGTCTGCCAGCTCTTTTGCGCCTTCTATTCTGTCCCATGTTGGCTCATCAACCTCATTCCCACCGACCGGTTTTGATCCATGCCATGCGGTTTTTCAACCAGTCTTGTCCTGCTGCTGCCAATGGGCATCCCCTTGCACCATTCCTCCTTCTGCTCATCCTGGTACTTCAGTGCTCCATCCTTCTGGGGCCTCATCACACTACGTACCACCCCCTATTAACTTGATCGTGTGCCACTGGCCCTTCCCCTTTAATGGTTATCATTACTGTTGAGTTTCATAAATCATGCTGTATATGTGGGATAAACATACAGAAAAAACAGAAATTTGGGGATAGGGTTGCTAAAAATTACAGAGCCTCTTCCAAAAGGTGATATGACGACTGTGCGTCACCAGCCTTGCGAAAACCGACGCCAGCAGTTAGAACGTTTTCGTCCCAAACTCCACGAGCAGAAGCTGCTATGTTTTTTGGAAAAGAACTAAA